ATATGGGCCAACATTTCTAAAGAATGCTTTCAGTACCTTGTTGAATCAATGCCACGTAGAATTAAGGCAGTTCTGAAGGCGAAAGGGGGTCAAACACCGTATTAGTATGGTGTTCCTAATAATCCTTTAGGTGAGTGTATATCTGTTATATTCATTAACTATGTTTACAAACATTACCCTAACAAAAAAAGTAATTAAATAAATGAATGAATGCAGAGAATTAGATAACGTATTTCTCCATTTCCAAAACAGCAAGAAAAAAAATCCTGCTTTTCACTCACAACTTTGACTAAAGAATCAGACTAATTCATGCACTAAATTCATATCCCGTTCTTTGCCTGACAATGCTACGTTGCTGAGGATGTTCTGGTAAAATGGTTACTTTGTGCCTGAGGCCCACGGTGGTGCTGCTTAGGATTTAGACCCTGGGTCACGGTCACTGCCACAGAGACATGGAGCCCCCTGCTGTAACATGTTTATCAGAGAGGTCAAGGGGCAAGATTATAGGCACCGTTTCCAGGGCTAATGTCAAGACACCAGGAAGGAGCTCTGAAAACTGCAGTGACCTACCACAGCCCACGGCTGACTGCTACAGTGTTCTGTGTGAAGGACTTCACAGACAGACCAGGCAAATCTTCAGTAAGGTCCCAGTTTCATGTGCAAGGCACACTTGTAAAAATGCAAGTAAATAAGATCAGAAAGGGACACATCATGGATTCCATTGTTGCAGGATTACACAATGTAGCGCTAAAGTGGGAGACTGGCATACACTCAGAGAATAATGCATGCACACAAACAGCTCCTCGGCCAAAACCGACAACTCACTACTGATTTACACAATAGAAATTCCAATTAATCCATTGATCTGAGGATACTTCTTCACAGGAATTTCGATGCGCTAAACATATGTTAAACTCACCATGGTGAGTATCTCTGAGTCATTGGTCTGAATAATAGAGAATATAGAAGGACAGAGTTTTCAATGGGTCAGCCCCCACCCAGCACATGTGATTCTGAACTGGGGAATTGTGGTATTGGGCCAGACGAAGCTGAAATGCAAATAGAGACTCCCAGCTCTGGAACGTCTCTCTAGGAGGGAACAGCCCTGCTCTTTTACAGCCCAGAAGTTGCTGTTTATCTTTATGCATACACACTAAGTGCCATTGCAATTCAGTTCAATCACATAATGAAATTACAGGGGTTACTTACTTTGTATGTGTTATTTACAGAGCGTCTTACTCATGTGTACCCAGGGGCAACTGCTATTCCAAATTAATGTTCAGACTCAGGCTGCTGAATAAAAAGCAATTACTTCCCCTGGAGAAGAATTTGCAAAATAACAATTGAAAAAAATGTTTCTATTTATATTCCATAAAAGGCAAAAGTTACTTTGCAAACAATTAAAAAACAGTACAAATTAGTACAATGGTCTTAACTCTGAGCAAGAGTGTGCACATGTGCGCATGTATGTGCGTGTTGTCTGTGTGTGTGCATGTTGTGTGTGTTTGTGTGTTTGTGTGTGTGTGTGTGTGTGTGTGTTTGTGTGTGTGTGCATGTGCCCTGTGAAAGAACTACTTCCCTTTCCGGGGCACACTGCCTCCTGTCCCGTGATTCCTGGCACAGGCTACAGTCTTTCCATAACTCTGCACTTCATATGGAGTTGTGGATGTCTGTGTAGATATCATCATACATATATAAACAATGGTACTTTTGATCCATACATTTATATTTATTTATTTAGCAAGTGAAGCTAATAGCAAATTAAGGCATAAGTGTGGCTTGGCTGTGCTTCCAATGAACGCCCAGGTAGATGTGCATGTCATATAGAAATAAGAGCCACACAGCATCTTCCAACAAAAAAATAACCTAATCAGACAATCCCATACTAACATAACTCTACCCCAAAGGTTCCATTTACAGTTGAGAGTCTCTGCTGCCAAATTTTGAAACTCTGCCATTAAGCGCAGAAAATGCAGCTCAGATCCCAGCCTCAGGGGTGTGGGGTCTAGTCATCAGGTGGGCCACTTAAGTAAAGCTCTCAAACTAAGTACATATGTCACAGAACATTTCTTGTCCTCATGAGGATGTCTTCCTTATTCTTCCAACACTCCCTAGTTAGCACTCTAAGTAGACTTAATTAAATGCTTGTCACAAAACAAAACGTTGGCACCATTCTATGAGAACATCTAAAGCGGAAGAGAACCGTGCTGCTCCATGTCATCTCAGATGTCATTAGAAGAAAGAATAGCTGGAGGCTACTATTCTGCACCGCCTGCCTTGGACTCAATGCTAAGCACAAGACAAGGTAGCTGACATTCTCTTTATTTCTGACCTAATTAGCTAATTATCTTAAGATCAAAAAGGGGGGGGGGGACTTAGCACATCCGTTACATTCCTGCTGGGCACATGACATATAAAGTACACTTTTTGCCTGTGGCCAAAGACCCTTACAGCTGCCCACCATTCCTGGAGAGCATCTCGGTGTCCCAGACTTGAATGGCACTGCGCCCTAATTCTTGTTTCCCACTCCCAGCTCTGGACTTTGCAGACCGACCTGACAAACAAGAGGGAACAGAGAAGCACCGACAGCTTGACAGCGAATCCAGTGCCGCCACCCCCATTGCCATTTTCATAGTGTAAACAGGGATCCTGATAGAGTGTACAATATGAGGGTTCACTAGTTATAATAAATGCCCCTCCTCTTCTAAAACCGTCGTCTGTCTCCTTATTCATAACCTTCCCTTTTATGGTCTGCTCTTGTTTAGGTTTCAGTTTTAACCGTTTATAATTTTTTCAGATGGTAGGCTGAATGGGTGTTGAGAATGAGCAGTGCTACCCTTCATCCAAACCTACGGCTCATACTGTAACAGCTGCCACAGCGTGGTACAAGGCACAGCAGCTAAAAGTCAGTTTTATCCATTTCAGATTTTCGCACCCTACAGAAATAGCTCTGTCTGCACGTGAGGACATGTGAACAATGTTTCTTCCATATCTCCAAATGGACATACTGTCAGCTGTGCAGGAGTGTTTGTAGCATCTGGGTTGGGGGTCACATCTAATTTCAGCACCAATAAAATGATGCAGCAGCTTCCAAGTGGTTGGGTTTAATCCCATGATGAAACAGTGGAGAAAACAGTGGAATGGGTTATTTTTTTGCTTTTGCTTTGTCAAAAAAAAAAAAAAAAAACAGTCAATTGCCTCTCCTTGCTGTGTGAGATCCTGGTTTAAAGTAGACATACATTTTCCTTCAAGAAGATTTCAAATGTCAGAGAGCAAAATACAAGTAACTGTACTTAGACTTTTCCTAAGGTATCATTATTTGCTGCCCTGTTCTGTTCAAAATGCCCAAGCCTGGCAACTGCTTTAAATGAATCAATTTAAATAAATAAAAAAAATATTTACAATGACAACAATGGTTCTACATTAAAACTGGCAAAAAAAAGCATACAGATCAGTTCCAGTCCATCAGCAGCTTCTCCAACGCATGAAACATTCAGTAATTACAAAATGTGAAGCAGCAGAGTGGCTGCCAGCCTATACCAGGTCTATACCTGTTTTAAAAATGGACTATTTTTAAAACAGGACTATTTCCAAGAAAAATACAAACATACATTCAATTATTGTTGAATGCTCAGTACTGTACAGTGCTTTTAACATGCTTTTCACTGAAATACAATGCTATTTTAAAGTTAATTAGAAATGATTGATCTCTCACAAATGTACCTCCCCTTGAGTCTAAGGGTCCTTCAACTGACTTCACTTGACCTTAGTCTTTTTAATTCCCTTAACATCCAGCTTCCAAGTCCCTTCAACATGCTGTCTTTCATCTGAAGTGTGATCCGGTGCAACACACCACAGTAACTAATCTTAGACAGCAGAGGCCAGCTGGATGAGAAATTTGATTAGACGTTAACACACGAACACAATAATAACATACTGAACTGCTTCGAAGGTAGAAAAGGAAAACACAAACTACCGGTTACTCAAGTAGCCTAGTCTAAGATTCATCGATGAAAACTAAAAAACGGAGAAAGAAATCTAGAAGTCCTAATCCCATAACAGCCTGAATCCTAATACAATCGTTATACCATTGTCGGAAGCAGTAATGATAATCAAATATACTGTAAGTGAGTTTCGCATATTATTAACGTGAGTAGCTGACCCAAACCCTTTATCTTGGCTATACCATTCAATGTAGCCTATATGTAAAAATACGTTAAACAAACAGTTTCAGTCTCTCTTGTTTATATTTCGAGTTAGCGTTCAAGTCACGTCTGTATCGCATGTGTTGCTTAACCCTTCCAAAAACATTGATGACCTTGTTTATTATTCGCATTTTCAGAAATACACATACTAACAATAGCTACAATACTGGGACACACGCACAAACGCCTTATTTATAAAACAGACATACAGCTTCCTTGTTTGATGCACAAGGTAGGCTACTGCAGTGAGGTCAGAGGATGGTGTCCGTATAATTTTGATTCCTATAACGCACACGACTGGTATAGAGACAACACAGCGCTGAAATTAAGCCGCAGTCGTAATTTACTCAAGAGGATACGGAACACATAACATGCACAGCAGTAGGTAATCAAGATGAAAAATAGGCGATATTGCCACTGTATATTAAAATCGGGGCTCACCTATCCTGCGCAGTGGTGGCTGAGGACTCGGCATGCCGCTGCTGATGTGGTAGGAGAACCGCATTGTCTTAAACTGGCTGGAGAAGGAATTCGTGTCTGATGGTAACAACGGCGGTGTGAAGCTGATGAACGCGCTCTTTGGTCGGTTAAACTGCATACCTGTACACAGGTATATGAAGTATTTTCAGATTTCCTTGCGTTAAAAAAGTGATCAGATTCCCGGTCCAGTCATAAATCCCCTCGGAATCAGGTCTTCGGCGTGCTCCGCCACCAGGTACTCGTCCGACCTGCCTGTCCCAGTAGCAGTCACCAAATAAGCGCTGTTGTCCCAGTCTGGATTGCAACTTGCGAAGAACCCCCTAATCAAATTGCAGTGCCCAGCCGGAATACACTCTAGCTGTCCTCGGCGACTACAATTGCCATCAAAAGCCACTAAATACATGTAAAACGCCATCAAATAACTATTAAATCAAGCTATTATCCAACGTATGCTAATAATTATTACTGTAAACCAGTTTGTGCCATTCGTTTTAGAAGGAAAATTGCGGACAATCATTTGCCCTCGGTATATCTGACGACAAATAGGGATAACTGTTACACTCAACAGCGCCGAGGTAGGCGACTGTACGCAACATTCCTTTACATCCCTGGCCGTTAAAACTGTAAAAAAAATCACTATATTTCACAGTGCGTTGACTTAAAGGTATTATCTTGATTTTGTCTGAATCCGAAAAGAGGACACCACACAAGTAAACAGGAGACTATTCCTGACAGAAACGGTCTTTGTATTGTTCTTCAGATTCCAAACGTATACGGGAGGGGGTTGAATTTCAAACTTCTCCTGGATATAAAAAGCGGCATAAAATGGCAAAACCCCAGTCGAGTTTCAGTCCTCCAATACTGAGGTTTAGTTCTCTTATCCCGGTTCCGACCCTAATTTCTTTCAGAAAAATCTGACTTAAAATAGACTGCAGTTAACCTGATTTAAGTTCTGCAATAACGAATTTGTCAACAAGCTTAAATTTTAAGAGCTGCATTTTAACCTCTGAGGACAAAATGCAAATTCCACGTTTTAACAACAGAGCCAATGTGTTCTTTTATGCCACAATTGCATTTAGTTTTCGGATGTTGCCCTGGCTTTGGTTTTCCCCCGATTTCCTTTCCAAAATGTTATCCCAGAAATATGCAAAGTCAGCTTCTTCTACCCAAATTCAAATCAGACATAAAGTCTTCACAGTATAAATCTTTGCGTTCCGTTTTAAACACAGTTCAGTCGTTATTCCTCTTGATTCAGAGTAGTTTTGTTTCTGAGTTTTTTTCCATCGCAGTCGCCGACTTTCATGACATAGTCCGTATCCATTCTTTGTGTGAAACTTTTAACGATACAGTCAAACTGCAGTCCTGAGTATGTTAAACTTAACTTCCCCCCTCCCCTCAGCTCTTTTCCCTGCTCCTGTTTGCGTTAGTCCGTCGACATCCGACACCAAGCTTCCACCCCCTCCTCCGCCATCTCTTTCTACCCAAGTCTGTTTCTCATTTTGGATTTTTTTTCCAAGAGGATTGTGCATGAAATCTGATTCCTTGAAAAACTTTGAGGAGAGTCTTTCTTACCTCCAAAGAATGGGCTATAACTGCCTTTTTCTAAACCTAAAGTTTGCAATATGATGTGTCATCACTAACGTTTAACTGCAACCGATTGAAAATAATCTCATAGGATCCATTTTAAAAGTGTTTAGAACCGGTGATCTCGCTTGGAGAATCGGGTAGCTGGCAGACAAAAATATACCCATATATTCAAATGCGGAGAATATTGCGTTCAATCCGGTAAAGATTATATGTTTATATTTTTTGGTACTATATTTTCATTTGAATTGGAAAGGTTTTACACCAGTAGACCAATCCAATCGTTCGCAGATTTCCTGGTACAATACAACTATAGACTACTAATTCAATGCAATAAATCTAAGTGGTAATAACTGAACACCTCATCAACTTAAAAAATCCACTGAACTTTCTACTGATTGTGCTCATCCAAAACTAACCGAGATAAAGTATCAGTATAATAAACGCGTTAAAAAAAAGCAGTTAATACCGTTAATTGCTATATTTCTTAATGATCAATATGTCTACCACATGATAAGTTGCCTTAAAACTTAGATATCGTTTTTAGGGTATTGCTGTAAGTTGCGCCTAAAACAAATACGTCAAATTCTGGAAATAGAACTCTACAGGGGATAACTTTAAAACTAAGATATTAGAACAGGGAATCAAGGCATGCATAAGTATTCATGGAAGTGTGTACCTCAGTTTCCATTGGCTGAATTCAGGCAGTTTTATTTGGCATTTATGGACTCTGTATATCATTATTTAGGCATTGCCTAAACTGCAGCACCTTAACAACGCAGACGATTACATTTTTAAAGATATCTTGTTTTGCAAGACAGACCAATCACCTGAATCTGCTCACTGGAATTTCCTGAAAGTGTTTACATTGTTTGTTGAGTCATTAGATTCTACCAGCTGCAAACTCATGTGTGAACATACGCAGTACTGAATTTGAACATTCAAATCACTTAGAGGATAGACTGCATATGGTCAGCCATTTTTAGGTGGGTATTATCAAATTTGTTAAATATTTCATGCGTGCCATGAGAAGCTACTTGTGGGTACTTCAATCAGATGAAACATCCAATTTGCATAAGCGTGAGGGCCTTTGATTAAATGAGGAAAGCTACAGAGCAGACATGCTGAAGTCAGTGCGTTACCGGGATCAGAGGAGGGAAAGGGAGAAGATGGTTGCTTTACGGTGCTTGGAAAAACTCAAGCCCAGCTGTTAAATGCACTCATACTGTGTACATTTATGGGGCAGTTAGGGTCCAAAGCCCAAGGGCTGCTTCCCAGCAGAGGCCGCCCCCATTTAGACCACAGTTAAAGCAGAATGACTTTACTCTTAAATGATTAATTCTAATAATTTCCTGTGTTTTTAAATGGACCTGTTTTGATATATATGGTTCAGCTTATGCCCCCAAACTGATAAATAGCCTAAAAGTTGAAGCATTAAAGTCACCTGTTAAATTTTTCGTTCATAATAAACAGAAGATTAAAATGAATCAGACCTTTGCCCACTAAAGGAAAGTCAAAATAAGCAGATACCTGTATTCAGCTATGAGAATAAGTGACCATTACATTTAAATGATAACTAAGAGTTTAAAGAGCCGCAGGCACCCACTAAACTTTTATACCCACCGCAGTAGTGTACTCTATTACAATTAGTCACACAGATCATAGACTATTACTGCACTCTCACCAGAAGGTGTCAGTATTGCCAAGAGAATTGGTGACAAAAATTCCCATAAATTTTAAACTTGATTTTTTTTTGGGGGGGGGGGGACCCCACTACAAAGATTATAAACTCATTTCAGTACCAAAAGTGTTGAATTATTTGTTTATTTGAGTTAATCTCCATGTTAATAGGTTTTAAAAAGCTCTCCTGTAAAATCTCCAATATTGTTATATAGATGTTTCCAAAACAGTTAAAACTACTACAGATTTTCCCACGAATATCATGATTAAACAGTAAACAGTTACATTGTAATAACATCCATCAATCCATCTTCCGTAACCAGATTCAATATACAAAATTTAAAAACAGACACTCCGATGCTGTAGCCTTGCATGTAATTAAACAGCAATCTGACAGTATCAGTACTGGATGCTATAGTACATAAATATTCATTGTATGGATTCATTCTGGTCAACTACATTCTAGATGAAAAACTGGCTAGCTTTCTAACAATTCTATCCATTAGTGTGTGTACCTCTACGTGTATATATTGATATGTACATACAGACACATAGCTGCTTTATGTAGATAGTTGGCGTCACAGCTGTATGAAGGAACATGCTGTCCTGCTGGGCATTCCAAAGCCCCGCCCATCACCGGTTCCCTCTGTGCTCCGTGGGGGCCGGCAGGGACCTCCTGTTGCGTAGATTGTATCTCGGCTGCTTCCCGCCCAGGGGTGTACGTGTAGGCAGAGGAACAAAACACAGCATAATGACAACCTAATTAAGGTTATACAGAGAGCATAAATTACTGTTGATTAAGCAGACCCTGCCATAGCACATCACCAAGGAAACGAGATGCTGGGTGCAAGCATGTAACCCAGAGGGCTTTTGCCTTCTATTGGCATATGGGGTTTGATGTCTGGGTATTGGATTTAATACAGGATTATATATGGACACCTTTGTTGCCAGGAACCTACTAGTCATATTATTTGGTCTGTTGGGTTGTGCACTTACCTGACTATCATTAACCAAGACGCTGTACGTGAGAGCGGTGGGGGGCCTCTCTCGAGAGCGTGAGGACTGAGGTTGACCAAGCCTCCCAGAGGTCTCCAAGACAGTGGCTCCACAATTCAAAGCAGCACAAGAGTAGTGTTTAGTTACAAAGATCATCAACTATAAAAATGCACTGGTGCATTGAATTGCACGGGAAATGATGAAGTGACGTGTTCAAGAAAATGAGCCAAATCAAGAAATTCTGCCAGTTTAAAATCATAACCAAAAAGCACTCAGGCATCTTAGTGCTTCAACTCTTCAAAGTGACCTGGAGACGTCTTGGGATAAAATCATTTTCATGCACAGAATTTATAGTAGATTTGAATGGCAGGATCGGTCTTATGCCAAATTGAATGCAAGCAACAGGAGTTACTGGGAAAGTAGGGTAACATCGTGGGCACCAAATCAGCATCTGATGACTGTCAGTTGGCGTGTCAGTGGAAGGGGCTGGAGGAACGTCTTACCTTCCTCCAAGTCCAAATGAGACGGCCCGAGTGAAACAGATGGCATGTGAATTGTGGAAGAATTGAAGAGTATGACAGACTGATCCTGCAGCGCAGTACTCAAGGATTCATCCTTGACCCTTCTCCAGCGCTCTGCCCTCAGACTCTCTCTTGCTTCCTTCTTCATGAGCTGCATTTCAGCAACAGCCTTATTAAAGCATTCTGGACAGAAAAGACAAAGAGGTTCCTCTCAGTTGTAAGTGTGGATATGGTAGGTAACAGCTAGAGCAGGGGTGGGCAATCTTATCCATAAGGGCCGGTGTGTATGCAGGTTTTTGGGATAACCTGTAGGTCAGCTGTTCAAACCCAGGTGTGAGGACTCTTCAGCCAATCAGTCCTCTAATAAGGGATTTGCAGTGAAAACCCGCAAACACACCGGCCCTTTGCGGATAAGATTGCCCACCACTGAGCTAGAATCACATGACTAAGGTACATGTAACTGTGCAAGTGCAAGACGGGGGAGGGGTGGGTCACCAGCTTTCTGCAGAGCCAGCTGAAGGCTGGAGTGTGATTCCTTCAGTTGGGTCAGAATTTCCAGGCTCTCCCTGCTTACATCCCTGAACCTCACTCCCACATAGATCAGAACCAGCAGTCCCAAGAAAACCATGCCTCGCCGCAGTAGCGCCACCAGCTGGTCAATCCGCTCCTGGCGAGGAACAAACTGACAGTCAGCGACCTAGGGGAATTCTTCAGAGTAAAATTTTAGATCATTTGGCAATCATAGTATACGGGGTAGCAGTAAAATACACAGCCACTAATTATGCTGCTTTTAGTTACGGGGTATGCGGCAGATAACCTTGATTTTTGAACTTTTGCCAGTGACTTTTATGCACGGCCTCCATGGAACATGATCGACAAAGCAATTTAGTTACGTACTCACCATCTGCTGGTACCCAGAATCCATGGAGTCCAACACAGCATTACAGATTATCCTTTCCAAATACACGTTTACTGCCACCAGCACGAAAAGGATTAGCCTACAGATAAAAAATGTTTTACACACAAAGAATTCCCAAAAAATACCACAATTTTTTCCAGTTCTAACAAAAAAAAAACCCTCAAAATCTGCTGTGCAGCATGTAACACATCGCAATGGCCTGCTGACATAGCAGAGGGTGCACTCTCCTCACGTACCTCCTGTCAAAGTAATTATTTTCCTTACTACAAGTTACACAGTAATTGAAGAAGCAAAACCTCCTCCATCATCACCATCAACACTGGCACCCCACAGGGAAGTGTGCTGAGCTCCCTGCTTTACTCTCTCTACACCCATGACTGTGTAGCTAAGTACAGCTCCAACTCCATCTTTAAGTTTGCTGACGATACCACCGTAATAGGTCTGATCAGCGAGGACAATGAGACGGCCTATAGGGAGGAGGTCAGACACCTGGAAGATTGGTGTCAGAACAACAACCGAGACCTCAACGTCAAGAAAGCTAAGGAGATGATTGTGGATTTCCGCAAACAGGCAACAGAGCACAGCCCCATCTACATCGGAGGTGAGGCTGTGGAGCAGGTCAGCAGCTTTAGGCTCCTCGGAGTCACCCTCACTGATGACCTCAAATGGTCAAGTCACACGGCGGCAATAGTCAAGAGAGCACAACAACGCCTCTACTTCCTCAGGAGACTGAGGAAAGCCCGGATGTCCCCCACAACCCTGTGTAGATTCTACAGGTGTACTGTGGAATCCATCCTGACAGGATGCATCACATC